TGTTTTTGTATTATTATTCGCTTATAGCGAACTCCGGATATAACAAACCAGTTTTAGTTCATTTTTCAAGTTGGTTATATCCGGACTCAACTGTATTTCCTTCTTTTCTGACAATAATGGGGTCTTTTCAGCCAAAAATGACAAAATTAATTTTGGTAGAAAAATTTTTTTCGCCTCATTCATCGCTTTGCAGGGAACTTTAGAAAACCCCTTTCAGCTTCGAATTTGCCACAAAACCCAAATAATTTTATCCAGTTTTTTACCGAAAGTAATTAACATGATCTTGAAAAAACTGGCAGGGAGCAAAAGTGCAAAAATTATTTGGAATATTTCCCTCGTATGATAATCTGTTCGTTTGAAGTGTGCAATTATCGAAAAATTACAGCGGTAATTGCATAGTGTGCAATTATCACTCACCGATATTTGCATTGTTTACGAAAAAGATTTGACAGGTGTCTTTTCATGATGAATTAGACATCAAATGTCTTCCTGACATACCTAAGATATTGAAATTAAATTTAATAAACTTAAGTAATAAAATTAAAAGTGTAATAAAATATAATAGAAATAAAATTAATCCACATTAACTTTGTTTACTCAGGAAATATTTATAAAAATTACACTCGTGCATCAAAATAAACAGATAATTTTGCTTTCGAGCTTGTTGTCTTGTAAAAACTGCATTCGTTTATTTCGAAAATAAACTCATGCAATGTTTAGACAACAAGCTTTCATGCAAAATTATCGGTAATTTTGAAGCACTTGTGCAATTACCCCCGATAATTCGCCGGCCACATCGTTCTGAAAATATTCAGTTTCTTTACATTTTCAGGTCATTCCAGTTTTAAGTTTCTATAAGCAATTCTTTCAACGCAAAAATCGCATTATTATTTAGTTAAAATACTGATAATCTTCAGGTATTTTCTGTGAAAAATTATAAGACAGATTTTATTGGAACACTCGCTTTCTTAACCGTTTTGCAAACATTTTTGGCAAACTTTTTGCAGATTCGAATTATGAACAAAACTCTAATAATTAATTATGGGTCTTTTTCCAAAAATATTTCCCCGAACTTAAAAAGCGAAAGTAATCATTTATTTGGAAAACTCTTCGAAACTGGGGTTTCTTCATTTTTAGGTCAATGTTTCTAAACAACACAGTCACTAAACAGAAAAACCGGGATTTTTCCTAACGCTTTACTGTAAGATACTGGCAAACTGAATCTTTTATGCAAGAAAATAAAGAGATCGATTTTACAAGAAAACTCGTTGACTATCTTTGGACTCGGTTCTGTTGCTGGGAAAATCTAGATGACTTTCTTTAGTTGTTTGAAAAAAATAGTAAAACGTTGCTCAGAAAAAATGTTGACCTTTTTTTAGATGTACAAATTCCTGTCTCGGGTTTCGTAAAGCTTGAATAAATGACTTATGACCCGATGAGTTATAACTCGTTAACTCAGAGAGCGGCAACAACTCAATAGCGCAACTCAATACAGTGTTACTCGGGCCTACCACCCAATCAATTTAAAAGTCGGTATAGACGATGACTAAAACCAAATACTATAGACTATATAGCCTATAGTTAGACATGTAGTCTATAGTTTTTATTAAAACGTTGTAGCCATTTCTTGCCCAGATATCACAGCTAGCGACATTTTCTACGAATTTTTCCAAATCTGATCTGGATCTGATTAAATATTCAGCTCGGTACAAACTAGAATTACAAAAACTGAAATAAAAATGTAAGAGGTTGTTTGAGGTCGTGTATGTCGACAACAGCCGACGTTTGATTTTTGGAAAGTTGTTATCACCATATCCAGGAATCCGCTATTTCATTTAATACCATTACTTTTGAAACACCCGTTATAAAACAAAAATAAATCATTCAAGATTCTGGAAAGATAGTTTTTTTAAACTGATGAAAGGACTATTGATATGCATACATTTTTAGAATCATGATGTGATTCTTTATTTCTGGAAATTTCTTCTAGTCTAAGAAGCTCCTGGACTTGGTCCTTATCAAATTCACACTGTTACTGAAATTAAAATTCGTATTATTTTTTTTTATTGGAAAAACTAAAGCTAAGTCAGCCTGCTGTACATTTTCGTAAGTCGTCATAATACAGTGAAACCGACGTCCCAACAGAGGCAGAACCAACATCTGAGATGAGGTGAACCCAAACAATCGGGTGCATTTGTCCCATCGTCATGACGATGTCCTCTAGTTGCAACCCAATGAACGTCCTCCATCTCCATCAGCAGCAGCATGGTTCTTTAGTTGTTTCGTGAACAATCCGAATCTCAATTCTGTCGCGACAGTTTGCCGCTTGCGTTAGTCGTTGATGGTTCGCTTGTGAACGGCAAAATTAGACCGCGCTCCTGTACGTAATTTCCGTGTTTATGTTTTGAACTTGCAGTGAATTTACTCGAATAGTTGGTTGATTAGCAGCTTTTCGTATCCTTCGGATTATCTTGTCCAAAGAACTAAAACAAGGTGAGTGGCTTTTGACTGTAGATTTTTTTTCCAATTTACCGCTTAAACCGAAGAGCATCACATTTCGGTTAGTTTATTTAATTCGTACATTTTCACTTTAAGCAATTGTTCCACTAATCGGAACTAAAAATTCAGCAGGATTTCAGTGCCCTTTTAACATTTTTTGTTTGCGTCACTTTTTCTTTTTCTTCCATTTTACATCAGCGCATATATCGTAATTTAATTTGCTTTTCATTTCGATTCATTGTTGTTGTAAAGAACTTATTTACTTCAAAACTTGTTTTATTAAATTTATTTCGTTCTACTTCGATTTTTTAATTAGTTGCATTTATATATACGTTTATAAGTTTTGTTAATTATTTCTAATTCTAAATGATTCACTTGGTGTCGAAATTGCATAAATTCTGTGGGTTAAAACTTTGTAATCGAAATTCAAGTAGGCGAATTTTTAAAAAGCGTATTTTTTTCAAACTATGTCGCATACAGTGTGCTCCAAAATTAGCCAAAATTGACCAAAAGTTCTAAATAAACGTCGATGCCCGTTACACAAATAGAACAGTCTTGACATGTTCCTAATTAAAATCAGAACTCCAAATTCTCGTAATAAGCTCAACGTTTTAAAGTCAGTTCAGAAAATAACATAGAAGAGGCGTCACATTTTTCTTCATTCGACAGATGTGATGTGGTTTTCTCAAATTACTAGCACTTGATTTGTCTATCAATGATCCAAGTTCTTGATTTGTTTGCCTTGGACCTCGGAACCTTCAAAGAAACAGGATTTTGGATGCAAGTCATACTATTTTTGTGGGAAATGATCAAAATAACCAATTATTAACAGCAACATTAATTTATTCGCGAAAATGTTCAAGCAAAATAAAAAACTATGGGCGGCTGGAAAATATTTAAATCCAGTTTAATTTCCAGGTTCATTAATTAACCTTTTCTTCGTCTGCTTCTGCGGCTGAAATTAATCCCTACATACATGCGTTTTAAATGTAACCTCGGGTATAATAATCGCACTTTTCGCAATTTTTTTTTCTTTTATTGAACGGACTGACAACTTTCACATTATTAAAATACCATGTTTGTTTCATAAATAATTATGATTTCACTTTTGTGGATACGTAGGTAAATGTGTTATAGACAATGTGGCTTTTGAAGGCACTTTTCTTAAAAATAAGGGGCTTAAGTGAAAAATTATACTCTAGCTGAAAGCGTTAAAACAATACAATTTTACCTTCCGAAAAATTTAGGACTCATTTCCTACTTCTAATCTTACATTGATACGCGTATTATTTTAGGTCTACTTTTAGCCGAAAAAAAGTTCAAATTAACAAAAATGTTAACTTTCGACTATTTTGGAAATAATTTCATTCATAAAATTGGAATCGAATTCTTTCTAGAGACCGCAGCGTCATGTACTATATGAAATAATTTCAGATTAGTCATCTATTTTATCACCACCTTGTACTTATAGTATTTTATTATTTTTAATTTAGAAATTTTTATGATATTTCTTTTAGGTTATTATGTTCAGAAAAAAAATTAGAAAGTGCTTGTTATGTTTAATAATATGAATGCAATTTTTTGTTGAAAGTTAGTTGTTTTAAAAATCGCTATGAAATATATATGGCTAAATTTCAACAAAATTTTCAACCACTGCTTACAGTGCCTTTTTCGCTAATTTCTGGGCTCATTTCTCCTTTCATATCCTTGCTTAAATATCGTTTTCGTTTCTTAATTTGACAAAAACTACCTATTTTTCTGAATGAAAATAGACAAAATGCTGTACCACTGGTTGGTTTTGCCGTTTAGCAAGTTTTGATAATTCATAACACCCCATTTTGCTAAATATGATACGTAGATAATTGACTATATGAAATGAATTCGGAAAATAGTATGCATTATTTTCACGTCCTGGTAACCTGATACCGATATAAATTTTAAAAATATTAAAATTATGATTTAAAAGCAAATTATAAAAAATTTTATTATTAATTATTAAGAAAATGGAATAGGTAGGTGACCGTAAATAAAATGATTTTTAAAATGACCTTAATTGTTTCTAATTGGTAGAAAAAAGCTTATGTACAGAAACAAGAAACTAGCTGCATATTTCCACCTCATTCATCATCAATTTGCTAAATTTTTGCCTACCCAGTCCCTGTCGGTCAAATTTCCGGACAGTTAGGTGAAAAAATTTCGTTCAAAGCCGCCGAGTGAAAAACGACACCTAAAGTTAATAACTTCCAACTTGCTCCCAATCTTTCAACTTAGGCATTCATCATTAATAAATAAGCTTAGGAAGTGTATACCGTTCACAAAACATCGATACGTTATCCGCAACTAGCCATTTACCCTAATGAGGCATCTGAAAATTTAAAAAAATACACATGCTAATACATCCATCTAACTTAGTCTGCCTGACTGACTGACTCGCTACTGCGCTTATCGATTTCAGGTAATTTATAAATTAACAAGCAGGTATATAAATATTGATCATCTAATTCAAAATTAAAACATATGGCGTGGGAATCCGACTCAAATTCTGCACTGTCCGGAATTTAACAGTGTTATGCCGCCTTTTAGCAGACTACCGCAAATTTAATTGGGTCCCAGAAGAACTTCGAAGCTATCAACCAACATAACTGTCTGTATTTTTTATATGTATAAATGATACAACTTCTGTCCTTGTGCATTAAATTGATTGAACATTTTCTATACTGTTCTAATAATTTTGTGTGTTTGATGGGGTTTTTGTTATCTGCAATGTATTATCAAAAATTCGAAGCGAAGATTCATAGTCTACTAGAACTGTTCAAGTCATCAAGCGACAAAATGTTCTTAAAATATACCAATGAATAGCAGTGTTGTCGTTTAATTATAGCGCCTGTCTAGTTAAGTAAAAAAAACCACTGTCGATTCCTTCCAAACTTGTTATGAAAGAGATATGTAATACCAAATAGGAAATGTTGTTTTTGCCTGAAACATTGCTACGTAGGACAAAGTCTTTTTTAGCGGATAAACCATGTTTAGATGCATTAATATTCTAGCGCTTTGCGCCAGTACAAATTAGGTAAAGTATATGGCATGCTAAAGTCGGTTCTTTCGTATTTGGAGTAGGCACAAGTTTACGTACGTTTTCTGAAAAGGTGAACTAGATTGAAATTAATCCTGAATGTTCTTAGGTGATAATACAATAATTATTAACAAAATTAAAAGAATAGATTTACGTCACTGATGTTCAAGCTAAATGAAGACTAATAGCAGCTTCCATGGCAAGCCACATCAAGATTAATATCTTTTCCCTTTTCCGTGCATACAAAATTGTGTCTAATAGTAGTGCTAATTACCAATTATTTCAACCTGAATACTTTACGCAATATTCAACAGAAATGAACAAATATTTGAAATTAGAGGAGTAAATCGAAAAAAATAAAATTAATGTTTTCAAAAGCTGCAAACTTTCCATGAATATTTTCCGTGACATCATTGATGTTATAATTTTTTTTAAATTTTTGATTGGTACTGAACACGAGAATTTTTTCAAACTCTCCCTATTCTAATAAAAAATGATACACGATCTACGCTGTGGTTTATTAGTTTTTTTCTTTAACCAGTTGTATAATTTTTTAAAGGTTTTGCAATTTTTTTTTTCATTAAATTGGATGGGCTTACTTAGAGAGGCTTAGAATAGTTAGAACTTACCATGAACAGAAAGTCTAATTTTGAAAAAGTCCAGACCTGTGGATATCAAAAATATCTTAAAGCTTGACGTTAATAATCGCATTAATAATTACTTTAAAAGCATAGATAGAGAATCACTGTAAAAGTGAAATTGTACCATCATACAAAAGTGCAAAAGCGAACACCAAAACAAAAACCGCCATGCATGCTAATTATGTAGAGAAATTTTCAATTTTTATTAATTACGTTATTGATAATCTCTTCGTTTTGATTTCCCATATCTTCTTGTCGTTTTTATGTTTATTTTTAATAAAACCAATTTGAAAGTGAACAGAATAGTATGCTGTTGAAAATGTTGTGATTGGTTTTAAAATCCTGAATAAATTATTTACTCCAAATTTCGAAAGTGCAACTGGCATTTCGCAAACAAATTTTTCTAAAAATAATTCTCTGGAAAAGATGCATACTTATACAGGGTGTCAATTTGAAAACTTCCCACTCTTAATATCTGTCTTGCAGTTGAAAATATGAAAAACCGGAGACCCGTCAATTTTATTTTTAAGGGGCACATTTTAATTTCATATTTTTATCCTCCTTGTTTCAACCCCCTAGACGGGTAGATGTCACCCTTAGAATCTTAAATGGGAAGGGGGTCAAGTGGCACATCGTTTTAAAGGGCGTTCAATTCTCTTTACATTAGTTATTACTTTGTTGCTTTTTGTCCAGACTTTCCGAATAATCGCGTTTCAAAGTTGTAGGAATAATTAAACTTGCGTGCATTCAGATATTGGTTTTCAGGTTAGTATTTACACAAAAACAATTGTATTGGGTCTCCTTGTAATACGAACGATTAGAAGAGAAGGTTACATTGTTAAAATCGTTGAATAACGGGAAGAAAATCTAGTTTMAACATTGATTTCTTATTTTCTATTTCGATCTTATTTCTTATTTATTGATTATTTTACATCGACAAAAATTACTTTTTATTTGCGGAAGAGAAATTTCYACAGTAAAWCGTATGYCATTTACTTACGCACTATCTTATAAGTTGTTCACCTTTTAATATCAGCAGGTTGTGTTTTATAAACAATAGACTTAAAATGTCCCGAAAGAAATAAGTTTAACGGTGTTCAATCCGGTGATCTTGGACCCCATTCAATTGGTCCCCTTCTGCCAATCGATCTATCCGGGAATATCTTATCAATGTTAGGGAGGCTTCGAAAATAGACCTTATTATTGTTTACAGGAAAATAGACAATCGCATAACTTGTAAGATAGTGCGTAAGTAGATCCTATGTGTTTTATTGTAGCAA